TGGTCTCAAACTCCTGAACTCAAATGATCCGACTGCCTTGGCCTCCTAGAGTGCTAGGATTATAGGCGTGAGCCACCTCGCCCGGCCCATGTTTGTGTTTTAAGCTAAGTATTATTACAAGAGTCAAAAAGTTAAAAAAAATTAGTTTATAAAGTAAAAAAGTTACAGTAAGCTAAGTTTAAATTATTGTTGAGGAAAGGAAACTAATTTTTTTATAAATTGAGTGTAGCCTAGCTGTGCAGTGTTTATAAAGTTTCCGGTAGTATACAGCAATATCCTAGGCCTTCATACTCACTCACCCTTTACCCACGGCAACTTCCAGTCCAGCAAGCTCCATTCGTGGTTAAGTGCCTCATACAGGTGTACCCTTTTTTAAAATCGTTTTACTGTATCTTTTGTACGTTTAGATGCACAGATGCCACTGTGTTACAGATGCCTGCGGCATTCAGGGCAGGCACATGCTGTATAGGTTTGTGGCCAGGAGCAACAGGCCGTCCCATACAGCCTAGGCTGAGGAGGCTACGCCATGTAGGTTTGCGTAAGTACACTCTCTGACATTCCCACAATGACAAAATGCCTAATGAAGCATTTCTCAGAATGTGTCCCTGTCATTAAGCAACGTGTGACTGTATCTTTATCTTTGAACATGTGGTTTGCAAGCAAAGATACCATGCCAAGCTTCCTAACGCTAGAATGCATTGAAAAGGTAATATTGAAAGTTCTTCAGGGCCCAGAGTCAAGCCACATAGCTAAGTTCTTGTACAAGGTTATGTTTCTGTGTTGCTGTTGTTTTTTAGTACTTCTGCTATTATTTAACTGTCTTCTCTCTCAGCCATTGGGGCCACTCATGGTGCCAGAGCAGACCCGCACAGGCTCCCTCAGAGCCCCGCTCCTCAACCTGGTGGTGGCGACCCGCCCCCACCCTGGCCCCCCTGCTCCTAGCCTCCGCCAAGGGAGTGGAACGGGTGACAGCAAGTCACTGAGTGCGTGCCGCAGAACCCATCCCAGGGAGGTGCTCGGGTGGGGGCAGTGTGAGGCAGACCACAGTGACTGAGGCTCCAGGCCACCAGCACATGCTCCATTCGTCCCATCCATCTC